AAACGTGGCAAGTTCAAATTAGGGAATTCCTCAGCTGGGCTCTCTGGTTTTGCTCTGTTGGTATTTTTTGTGGTAAACATGTATGGTAATAAAAGTGCTCCCAAGAAAATACTCAGATGTCATAGAATACTTAAGTTCTCCTATTATTTAATGGGATTTAGATTCCACTTTTCCAATTCCCTTACAAGCTAGGTTATTTTGTAGGTAGGTATCTTGGGCTTGTGTAAAGATAGCTTCATACATGGTATGTCTATAAATTCTTTTGACAGGAAATTTTGGGAGGCTTCTTTGCAAACAGCCTGTCAGAAGAATGGTGTCTTGCCTACGGGTTTGCTCACTGCTGCTGGCCTTAGCAGGACTGACCATCTCAGTCGTCACCACCATGTCCTACAGGTGGCCAGTGCTGGCCGGGGGAGCAGAGCTGGTTCCTGCAGGCTGGGTTTCTGCAGGCCTTTAGATGGACTGTGCAGTGGCTGCTTCGGACCAGTGCAGAGCAGGAGATCTCCCTGCATGCTGAGCTCAGACAGGGAGTGTGCCTGGCGCGTGGTGGCAGGTCCAGGGTGAGGTCTGTCCCCTTTCTGGCAGCACGGCTGGAGCTAACGGAGTGTCTCCTGTGGGCAGGGTTTGTCCTGCAGGACTTGCAGATGGCTCAAGGGGCCCAGGGAACCCCAAATGCTTCACCCTGCAGTTCAGCTCAGTAACTGCTGTGGCTTTCTCACCATCTCTGCTGTGTTGACACAGAGGAGTGGGTGATAGACAATGACTCTAAGCTATGGTGTTTTTTTTTTTAATTCTTTTGGAAGAAATATCATCCTTTTACTCCACCTAATTCTTAACTGCAAGGAGATCATAGGTGAAATGCTGGGGTCTGAACCCTGAGCCCTGAATTAAGGTTGCCATATGGGTGATTCCCACAGCCCTTCATCCAGAGGTGCTGAGTTTGCCTTTCAGCTCCCCCAGGGGGCGGCCGGCCCTGCAGGGAGAGCCAGAAGGGAAATGAGCCCCAGGGGTCCCGCAGGGAGCTGACAAAGGTCAGGGCTCTGCTGGGGGATAAAAGCTGGGCCCACTGGCAGGGAGTCAGGAGTGTCTGTCTGTGGAGTGCCCTCCCCAGAGCTGCCTGGTTCAGGGCAGACCTCCTGACTCTCCTGGAGCTGGGCCCTGGTCTGTTCAGACCTTTGTGAACGCGGGCCGATGGCGTGAGAGTCACTATGTGGGCACCTGTTCTTACGTGTTTAACTGGCTGCTCTGGCTGTTTCCCATGCCAGCTGTGGGAACCTCGGGTCTCTGTTTGTACCCCCGGCGGTCATTCACACAGTAACATTTCTGTCTACAATACAGTCTGTGTATTGGTTCATCTCCCTGCTGGTGTTATCCTTTTTGTTGGGCCTGGTCATTGGCAAAACAATAGGTCAATGAGCCCTGGTGCTTGTTTGCACCTTGGTGTGAGACAGGACTTCTTAGACTTTCCAGGATTTGTTTGATACTTCACTTGTTGTGGAGTTGTGCACTTATTCTGGAATTTCTCTGAGGTGAGCAATGTAAATTAAAATATGTTTGTGCCACTGATGCTTTTGCGTTTTCTGATGTAGATGGTGCTAGCAGGGCAGTTTATCTGCAAATAGAAAGAGAAGAATTGTCTTTGTAGGACTGAAAGTTGTTTGGATTGTTTTGTGTTTTAAATATATCTTTAAATATTTACCATCTTTATGGTAAAGGACTAGGAAGGACTGACTTTGAAGTTCTTTCCTCAGAAAACTGAGTGTAGAAACAGTAACCATATAGCCTTTGAAGACTGGTACTTTGTGAAGCTTTCTGTCTCAAATAGAACTTTGTGTTTATTCTTTTACAACTTTCAGCATTGTGCAGGTGACTTTACAAGTTATAGGATGGAATCATTTCTTCAAGCCTTCCTTGCTTTATAGATCCCTGATTGCTGTCATTGCTGTTTCTCTGGACTCTTTCCAGCTGATTTGGTCTCCATGTGCAGCTCTCAGAACGGACAAACACCACGTGTCACAGACTCTGAACACTTGTTTTTCTTGCACAGACACAGGACTCCACTGGAGGCAGAGGTGCCTAACTGTAAGGCAGAGCTCTAAAATGTGAGAGTTTAACCCTCAGGATTTAACTCTCAAGATTCAGGGTATTCATGGCTCTTCCTCAGGGTCCTGGCTTTGATGGCCTCGTCTGCTTTCATAATGATGGTGCCAGTTTAGGAATAAGTATCAGCATCCTGTAACAAGGCCAGAATTGGTAGCCTCAGAAGGGGGCTAATTCTGTGTTTCCCAGGGTTTTTAAAACATTACCCATTTCATCACAGACAGCATCAGCTTTTCATCCTGCTCTGGTACCTGCTCTGCTCCTGAGACTTCCTCTATGCAAATACCAGGGTGCCTAGGTTTCATCCAGAAACTGGGATATAATTTTTGGAAGTCAGAGTGATGAGATGGAGCCAGCAGTCCTGTTTGTGGTGGTGGAATGCCACGGACACTTGTGGTGGTGTGACAGCTCTGCTTTGCCTCCTGTAACAGGGAGGAACTGATGGTTCAGCCCCGTTCTGGAGACAAGCAGAGTCAATGTGGGACAGCCTCCCTTTTTTAAAATGCAGTTTCATTACACCCAACATAGAAAGAAAATGTTTTTCAGGAACAGAAAGGTTCCTGGTGAACTGAAGCAGCTGCCTCCTAGGGGTGCTCTTCCCTTCTTCTCGTGGCTCCCATCATTGGAAGAGAAGACCCCTAGCTGGCAGGGCTTGGTGGATCATCTTCAGCTGCTCCAAGACCTGTGTCTCCCCCTAAAACCAGTGCAGGGTTCCTCATGCCAACGGACAGGCAGGTCATGTGGCTGCCTGCAGAGTCATTGCTGTCTGTGCAGGGCTGTTTCTTTTCTTACAGTGCTCAGTCAGCATTCCTGGGTCTCGAAACAAACCTACAGAAGTGATCAAAAAGGTACAGCTCATGTTGATCAAACTTTTAATGTTAATATTTTCAGTATTTTTTTTCCCAGCTGTATTGGCTGCACTGATTTTTAGAAATACTATTTCTGCCTGGTAACCCTCTCTCAGCCATATTACACACAAACATGCTTTGAGAATAGCAGAGGGGTTAGGAACAGTTTCTCTCTCCTTGGTCACATATAACTGTGGTCATATATGTTCACATCTTGACATGCCTATGTTAACATTTTACTGACAGCAGGAGTACAGTTTTGTAATTAACTTTCCAGTTATTGCCATTTACTGTGCTTGGTTTGCATTGCAGAGTGATCATGGAGTGTGCAATTTGGTTTCCTCGTGGGTGAGGCAAAGCAGGGAAACGTGCTCCAGGAACACACTTCCAGACTCCCAGCTGTTGGGAAGTGTTCTCTCCACTTGACCAGCCTAGAGCCAGTCTGGAGGAGAATTCCCACGTCGTGGCTGGGGTTGGTGTGCAGGTGTCAACACCAGCTCTTCCCTGCTGCTGAGGCAGAGCCTCCTGCAGAGCAGCATTTGCTGTTGTGTCTATCACCTACCAAACCAGCCTTTACGTTCTTCAACACCATTGAAGAGTCATTTCCTTAAGGGAATGATTAAAATGCCATATAGGGGAAACTCAGGCTTTCTAATCTGCAGTTAAATAGTCTGTTTATTATGTGCTGTTTTACTTTCTTAATTCAGAAGAGCTCTTTAAAAAACAAATAAAAAAAATATGATTTTTTTTAAAAAATGTGTGCTTGGCAGCAGTATAAAATCCATGGACACTTAAATCCATGGCAGAGGTCTTGGCTGCAAAGGGAGCAAACATGTGGCAGTGGCACTGTGGCACCCTTCTGCAGCTGGACCTACCAACCTGCAGCATTAGCTGCGAGCGGCCAGTGGAGCTTGAAAACAAAGCCCAGGTATCTGCTGTGGGCAAGCTGTGACTGTCCAGGGCTGAGCCTTCTGGTAGGCTTTATGGAAATGTCCTGAATCTGTTACCACCTTGCGTCACAGCAGGATTATTTTATGAAGAAACTCTGACTCAATTTCCTGTAGATAAGAGCAGGTTATTGCTGCAAGAAATGGTTAACCCTGTTTGGATGCACAAGCAGTTTAAGGTGTTAACAGGAGTGGGAGACATGAATTGAGGCTATGATTTTGTCCAGTCAAGAGCAGAAGCAAGTAAACCAAGTTCAACATACTTCTGCTTTGCCTAGAAGAGATTTTTTTTTTTAATACTAAGATATTCTGACAGACAGATGCAATCAGCTGATTTGTATTATTTTTCATGTAGCAGTTTTCCTGCATCATTTTATTCCTATTAAGATATGCCTGTTGCACTAGCTTATTCATTCCCTTACAGTGCATTTCCCTGAAATGTAATTACAGTTGTATTCCAGTGCAAGTGGGACTATTTTTAAGACAATGAGTTTAACTGTAGATCAATAGACTGTAAAATATTAATGGCAACCACCCGTCCACAGACTTAACCTTCCTGAAAGAAGCTGACAGTATGGTTGCTATGGATTACTTATGACCATAACTCAAAAAAATGTGCTAAATTTTTCTAGCAACAGAATAAAGTTCTTGTTCTCAAGCTTTTTTTTGTGCTTGAGTCATCAAGAAAATAACCCAGTAAAGCTTTTTGATTTGAGATCGATAATAAAATCACAAACAATTTAAATCTTGTGTAAAGCCTAGTTGATTACAGAGGAGAGACAGAAGTAAAATATTTGCCCATATTATCATTCTTACAAGGTATTTTATAGAGATACTGACTGGACTTTCTAGTCTGAGACTAAGAATAGGCTTATTTTGTCACTAAAGGAATTAATATTGTAATTTTTTTTAAACTGTTAATATCTTTATCATGAGCTACTCCCACTTCTTATTGTCATGAACCTTATCTCTGGGGCTGAGCAAAGAGCAAAGGTAGCCTCATTTTGGAGTGAAACCCAGAGATAAAACAGCAAGGAGGCTTCTGAAAGGCTTCACTTGATTGTAATCTAATTATAGGGATATTTAACTGTTACTACTCAGAAGTATGACTGCGGCGCTGGAAATTGTTGGTTTTCTTTTGTGCTTGGTTGGGTGGGCAATTATTGGAGCTACTTTACCCAATAAGTACTGGAAAGTCTCCAGTATACATGGCACTGTGATCACAACGTCCACCTTGTACGAGAACCTGTGGAAGACATGTGCAGAAGACAGCACTGGAGTGTCCAACTGCAGAGATTTTGACACTATGCTTGCACTGCCTGGTATGTGACTTTGCACAGGTCTTCTTTATACTGCTGGAAAGATTTTTGGAGAAAAAGTAGAAAGGAAGGCTTCTGTTTTGGTAATCTGATAGTGCTGGAAAATATCTGGCCGAGAAGGACGTTGTGGGCTGAAGTAGTAAAAATCTCTTCAGAAGCAGAATGTGTCAAGCACATTAAAAAGGCTATAAAATAAGGCAAATGAAGTCACTCGATGAAGCTTTTATTTTAATAGGCATTTAAAATATGGTGTAATCTCTCTTCAGGGATCTTGTGGGAGGAACTAGTAGGAGACATTCTTTAACACATCTTAGGACAGTTCCGTGTTTATTTGGAATTATTTTATAGGTCTTCTTTTGCAATGCTTGATAGGTAATGTACTGTAGGTTTTTTTATATATAGGTAAGAAATAATATTTATAGCTAAGATATGTCAGTGATTTTTCCTTGTTGAGACTGAAAATCACAGACAAAAAATGAGTATATGTAATACCTGTTATAACATATTGTGTTATAAATTATACAATGAGTATATGTTATAAATATGTTATATATGTTATATGTTATAAATTAATATACTTTTTAGGACTTCTTAACTAATGTCTTGTCGGATGTGGTTCTGAATATCAGGAAATTTAGATTCACTGGTGCTGTACTCTATAGCAGGCTTCAGCAGAACTGTGGGCTGTCCTCAAACACTCAACTAAGGCAACATTCTGTAGATACTAGTCACGTTTACAGAAAACAAAGCTACTTTTATTAATCTTCAATAATTCAGTATGTAGATACTTATCCCAGAACAAAAATGCCTTCCTAGTTATTTAAATGGACACTGGGAGGCAGCTAAACTAAACAGGCAGGATGATTCTCCTCATCTGAGGAATGTGTACTATAGGATCAGTGGGAATGGGGTATGAAAGTCACTTTCTCTCTCAGTCTGAAATAAACTGGTGCTCTAGACCAGCCCTGACACGAGCGAAGCATTTCTCTGAAACAGTCTGTGTCCAGTATTTAGGGAATAATCCCTTCTCAACTTTCAGAGTTATCTAAGCCTTGGTTTTAAAACACACGTGTGTATGGAGAGGAACATAACCCTACAGAAACTTCTCAGCAGGCTGGTGCCCATCGCACAGTCCCCTCTGCAGTGCTGGTGGCAGGGTGCCTGTGGCTCCCCCAGCAAGCCGCTTCCCAGGCGGGGCAAATTTGCACCCCCTGCCACTCAGGGCTTCACAGGGGCTGCCACTGAGAGTGCCACGGGGCTCCCGTGTGGGCAGGGCTGGCCGAGGGGCCACACGGGGCCAGCACCTTTGGGCTGCTGAGAAGAAAGTGGGGCTCGAAGGAGCTGGAGGGGGCATGCAGGAAACAGCACCATGAGTGGATGTGTAAAGCAAAAGAGAAAGGAGGGCAAGCAACAGCAAAGCTCCTGGAGAACTGGAGATAACAACAGAGTCAGCAGGAGGGAAAAAATGGGGCCAGGCAGGAAGTCAATGACTAGGCCAGGCTCTGAAAGTGAATTTGTGAAGGTTAAATTTGACCTGTTGAAGAGGAGATGTGCTGCACTGTTGAGAAGGTGGCAGTATGTGTGAGGAGCAAAGGCAGGGAGAAGGGGAAGGGAGAAACAGCTTGCAGAATTGTAGAGGGGAAAAAAAAAGGATCTAGAAAGAACTGAAAAAGAACCAAATTAAAAGACACTGAACTACAGAAAAAGTTGAGAGGACAGTTGGGCAAACCAGGAAAGAGGAAGAAAGTGGAGTTGGTAGCAACAAGGGCTGAGCAAACAGTGGGACCTCCAGGAAATGTCTGTAGCACTTGCAGATAGGAGCCAAGGCAGACTAAAAGTGATCATGGTCATTTCAGGTGTGTTCCAAGTTGCTGTTTAGAAACAGCTGAAACTGCTGCAGCAGAGGATGCCAGGGATTGGTGGGAGGGGGAAAAAAAAGGAAAAACAAAAGGTGCTTTGTTACCTCTCATCAGAAGGCCCATGAAGGTTTTCTGTGAAGGTTTCCTTCCTGGCAGCTGAGCTGTGTGGTGTAACTCTGGTTCTGGTTTTGTGCATGGGAAATACCAGACTTGGTTCTTTCAAACAGGTTTAAAGCTTTTGAATTCAGCAAGCCTTTAGCCCAAATCTGAAATGTTTGAAGTGAGGACCTTTTTAAAAGTAATATTGCATAAGTTTGAAACCATGGCTGGCTACTGTGTAGAGCTAGAACTATCTATCTAGTCACAACTACATCAAACATTTGATATAAAGCAATCAGTTAGCTGCCAAATGCTTTTTGATCTCTTCTCTTCCCCCCTCCCCTTCTTTTTAAGGTTCCATAGGTGTTTCAAAGACAGGATTTTGATTTGAGAATCAAATTTTGATTTGAGACAGGATTTGAGAATTTCTTACAATTATTATTGACTGATAAAATGAACTGGCTTTGTATCCTGTTCAATAAGCTCAGTTTTAAGATAAAGAAAAAAAATATACTGAGCTTTCTGGGCTGTGAAGTAAGAGCCTCTGCTGAGGCTGTGGAGGTGGTTGTGCTGTGATACAAAGGGGATATGTTACAGAATCTCTCCTGTTAAAATAATGCAGCCATTGGCTTGCAAGCAGTTAGCCTGGGGGTATGCTTGTGTGTCCTGGAAAGCTATGGGGAGTCCCATCTGATAATCCAGGAGTCCCAAAGACCTGAAGTGTAACTTGTTGGCTCCTTGCTGTGGGTAATCTCTGCTGCTGTGGTGTAAAATCTGAACTAGAAAGCGGCGTTGGAGCTGAGTGCTTGTCCTAAGAGTATCTTCTGCAGGCAAAAACCTTGAACTGTTGGTGGTACTCTGAGGGGTCTTTTCACTTTTATTACTGTCTGCATTTTTTCCACCAGGACTTTAAAATTAGTGATTTTCAAGATTAATTCCTCAAACGACGTTATCCTTTAATTCTGTGTGTTTATCTCATGACTGCCTATTACTCTCTTTGAGATCTCTCAAGCTTGCAGGACCAATACTCCTAAACCACATACACCTACACAGCCCCCTGAGTCTGAGTGTGAATCTCCCACTGTGCCTGATTTTTGTAGCAGAGCTGTGGGCTCACTCTGCTGCAGAGCTAGAGAGCAGGTTACTGTGGAGGACGTTGAGATGCCCAGGGAGCTAGAGCTCAAATGCTAGCCTCAATGATGTGACTGTCCAGCTGCACTCCAGCTGGGACCCTTTTGATGTGTGGTTAGGATCACAGCATCATTGAATTATTTGGGTTGGAAAAGACCTTTAAGACTGTTGAGTCTGACAAAATTAGCAGGCAAGACCTGCTGGTTTGGTGACACTTGGCATGTTTATCTCATGGTAGAGGCACCAAAGTGCCATTTGACCTGGAACCTGCCCAATCCAGGTTGCCATTTTATAGGACCTCAGAGTTCCTGTCTGACTCCCCCTTCTTAGGCTGGTTAATATTCTGGGCCCCATTTTTGTGCAATCAGTACCTAAATGTGAGGACCAGGAGCTTAAGTGATGCAGAACTGTGAGCATGCCCAAGTCCCTAAGGTGCCCTCACCAGCTGCAGCCTCACCACAGGTCTATGTCCTAGGCTCGATCTGCTCAGCAGCTCAATGGCACTGCTAACTCCAGCACTTGCTTTCCCATCTCTCACTAGAAGGAGCAAAGCTGGGACATTTTCCCACTCCCTCTGTGGGGTGCACCTTGAGTAGCCCTGCACACCTTGGCCAGGACCTGGAGTTCAGAGGGGACCAGTGCACTCGGCTGTACAGGTGTGAGCTGGTCAGCCTGAGGAAGAGGAGGATCTGGGGGGACCTTAGGGCAACCTGCCAGTACCTGAGAGAGGCCTACAAGAAAGCAGGGGAGGGACTATTCACAAGGGCTTGGGGTGACAGGACAAGGGGGCATGGCTTTAAGCTAGAAAAGGGCAGATTCAGGTTAGACATTAGGAAAAAGTTCTTCAATATGAGGGCAACAGACCCCTGGAATAGGTTGCCCAGACAGGTGGTGGAGGCCCCATCCCTGGGGACATTCAAGGTCAGGCTGGATGAGGCTCTGAGTAGCTTGATCTAGTTGGAGATGTCCCTGCTTATGGCGGGGGGGTTGGACTGGGTGAGCTTTGGAGGCCCCTTCCAGCCCAGACATTCTCTGATTCTAAGAAATCCACCAGGGGACGGTTCTGCTCCTGTGAATGACCGTGTACATCACCGTGAAGGGCTTGCTCTGACTTTTCAGGGCTTACTAAAGGCCCAGGAGGATTCACTGAGCTTATGAAGTGTCAGAGTAGTTTCAGCTCTGAAATGTGATTGACTTGAAGGCTGAACACTGTAGGATTTGGATACTCCTCTAAACAAATACCAAGACTCGCTCATTACTGCCCCTGTTAATCGTGTCACTTCCTCTGATCACTTTTATTTTTTTCAGCAGTGGATTAATTTACTTCTCTGCAGATGCTGATTTCTTTCCCCTCTCTCTGGCTCAGCTCACATCCAGGCATGCCGTGCCCTGATGATCACGTCCATCCTGCTGGGGTTCCTGGCTGCAGTGCTCTCGCTGCTGGGTCTGAAGTGCACAAACATCGGGCTGAGCGACGAGGATGCAAAAATGAAGTTTGCTGCCACAGGAGGGTTCCTCTTTATTTTCGGAGGTAAGATCAAGGCTGCAATGAGCACGCTGTCGATACCTGGTACTGCTCTCTCTAGACTAAGCGAAATGACTCCTTGTTCTTGGCTTAAAGCTGTTACAGCCACTAGAGGAATCATTCACCCGTGTGCTTTTTACCCTTCTCCTGGCAGGCCTCTGCTCCATGGTGGCTGTTTCTTGGTACGCTGCGATGGTTACCGCTCAGTTTTTTGACAAATATTTCGCTGGAACCAAGTAAGTTAACAGATCCATCATACCAAACTCCACCACGTGTTACAGGGACTGCACCAACCTCAGCTGCTCCAGAGTTTCAGAACCTGGATGGATCCTGTTAGCCAGTCCTACAGCAGGAAATTTGTCTTCAGGGAATCTTTTCACCTCAGAGATGTTGGTAAAGGGGGGACAGTTCTCTTCTGGAGGTTCAGTGAATGTGTGGGGAATATCAACTCTACATCTGAGGGGTTTCTGCACTGCGTTTCCATTGTCTTGTGAAACTCAATTAAAGGCCCATCTCAATGCTGTGAAGAGGAAAAAGGTGAAAGTCTTAATTTCTCTCAGCATTTAGACTGAAAGAAGTACAAAATTCTGCCTATGGCTAGAATACAATGCCCCAGAAGTACAAGAAAATGAAAAAGAATGTACAGAAACCAGCTTGAACTGAGTACTAGTGACCTGCAGGCAGCTGAGAAACTTCATTCTAGTGTCCTGCTTGTCTTAAAGTAATAACTATTTTTCTCTATACAGTAACAGCTCAACATTTGTTTACCTTATGAATTAAAATGAGGCAAAGTTTGTGGGACTATCAGCTCGTACCGTTGCACACAAACAAGTTTCAGGGTATAAAAGGCCTCACTCTTGTCTGACATAAAAGCAACAGTCTTCAAAACTAAATGCCTGCTTATGGCACCTTATCTAGGTCAATAGATTTAGCAATGAGGAAGAAGGGTGGAGGTGAGCGGGCCTCTCCTTGGAGAGGAGGAAGAAGGGATGGAGAAACATAAAACATCACCTGTGGAGCATGGAACATGAGCGAGCTGCTCTGGGAAAGGAGGACAGTTATAACTTGCCAGTACCTCTACCCACTACATAATCCTTAGCTCAGCAAACCATAAATCTTCAGTTTCTAGGATCATACTTGAAGTGTTTTGTCCGTTCCCTCCTGAGAATCCATTCAGGGGAGTCAGAGGTGAAGTGCTTTGTTATGAAGCAAAGTACTTTAAGCAATTGCTTTGGTTGTTTGTCAGTTTTCCTCGTGTTTACAAAGAAATTGCACTCGTGAAGACTTTTTGTTGTTTTATATCCCCTCAGGAGAATTATATGAAGGGTAATAAATACGTTAGAGGACTGAAACAACTGTTGATAAGGATTTCAGTTAGTGGGATAGTTAGCGAGTTTTATAGTTATCTGGTATAGCTCTGGGGCTTCAACATCAATGTATGTTAATCAGTTACCAGATTGTTTGCATTCAGTAGCTGAAGACATTTGTTTCTAATGTCTGAACTTCATGTTTAAGACTGTGGGTTCACCAAGCAGTTGTAGTGACTTGACTTGGGCCATTCCTAAGGCCATACCCATTCTGAGGCACTCTGTGCTCCGTGGGCTCTGTGAGGCAAGTTTGAATCCAGCAGGCCAGTATTGATCTTCATTTTTAAGGAACTGGAAAATCTGGTTTTTCAGATTGCATTTGTTTGGCTGGACTTCAGCAAATTAGTAAATGTAACCTCTACCAATTCTTAGAGGCATTTTTTCACCCAGCTGTGAGTGCAGCCTGAGTTCTCCTGCGATCCCTCCTATGTACTTTGGTGTGGTGTCCACAGCATTCCCTCTAGTTGACTACTGAGCAGAGATGATTTCATGCACTGGGCAACACTCTCTGAGTGTTCCTTAGTATTTCTCCAGCAACTTCCACTCTTCTTTTTTTTTTAGCTAATGATTGTCTCCTTGTTTTGTGTTTGGAAAGCACTTAAAAGAGTGGAGACCTGTGGCTGCCATGTGCAATGAGAACGTGGAGAACCTGTGTAAACCTCTGAAACCTTCCTGCTAGCAACCAGTTCTGCAGTCACAAACCTCATCACTTCTAAACAATGATTTTGTGTTTACAAGGGGAAAGAAAGCACACGTGTCTGGTTTCAGTATTCCTTCTATGCAGTCCATGACACTTATTTTGCCCTTATATTAGGTATCTCAGACCACAGAGGTGCAGCCATATGGTGGATGTAGTCTTTATCTGAATAGAAAAGATTTTTTCCCACTCTTTGTGGAACTCCAGACTTTCCCAGGCTCAGTTGTGCCTAGTTTTTGGCTCAAATTCGTTGTCAGTGAATTTCTTGGACTGGAATAAAGGGTTTCCTGAAAGATGTGGTTTTGTACAGTAAAATGGGGAACTATTATTTTTTAACCTGCAACTATCCATGAATGTATGTCAGCCATATAACCACAGAGAGTGCTGAGTATTCTTTAAGACACATAAGTTTGAATAGTAGCCCTACACAGACAGCTGCTTGTAGGTGATTTGGTGTCGTGTCCATAGAAAGCTGATTTCTATGGTTAGCCTTTTCTCATGACACCCACAGGCAGGTCCAAATCACTCAGTTTCATAAAGTTATTTCAGTGGCACAGTCAATAGGAGGGCAAGGTAAGTGTCGTGGACTGCACAGAAGGTGTAGTATTATCATTTATTACCAATGTTTTATTCAATATATGCAAGTATTTATTGCTACTTGTCTTTACATTGTGTAACACTTTCTGTGCTGTCACTGATTTGGCAGAGTACTTAAATACACAGCTGACAGTTTTACTGAGAGACACAGAGCCAGACCTGTTCTCTGTTACCTGTTGGAGTGCCTTGCAGTTACCTGATTTCTGGACAGACTAGAATTGTTTGCCTGGTTTGTGCACCTTGTAGCTTGGTTTAAAATATGGCTTTGTGATCCTGTTATGTGCAGCTGCCATAAAAACTTTCCTGTTTCAGGTATGAACTAGGAGATGCTCTGTACTTGGGCTGGGCTGGATCTGTTCTTTACATACTTGGTGGCACCTTACTGACCTGTTCATGCAAAGGGAAGAAAAGACAGGATTACAGGTAAACTTGGACTCGTCAGTTGAAATAGTAGCTGTCAGTTATATGCCATGTCCTGTCTGTATGCTGTGCTTACCCTCTCACCCCCAGGTACACAGCTCTAGGCATATAATGTACAAACAGGGGACTGTCCCTATTAATTCAGAGCTGTGCCATGTCACCCATGGTTTGATGGCAGAGGACACTGTGCCCAACACCTGTGCTTCCCAGGCAGTGTGCCTGTTGTGCCTCACCATCACCTATAACTAGTGTGTGGTCATTCTGGGTACTGCTGATGCTTCTAAGATCTACGTGGTGGAAAAGTGCAAGGAACGAGTGGACTGTCAATTGCCAAAAATAAGTGTGTCAGAGAACACTGTGTATTATAATTAAGTTTCTCTGCAGTCCTCACCACTGTTAAAATACTTAAACCCCATTTAACTTGCAAACCTGTAATGGCATTTCCTCCCCAAAGCACATCCAGCTGAGCATGTCTACCCAAGGCAGCCCAGCTGGCTTGCAGGCTGTGCTGGCTTAGCTTGAGAGGGTGCTAACACAGAAGGAAGAGGCACACTCACTGCTGCTGTTCTTAATCTTAGGGAAGTTATGGCAAAACACACCATCAGTGAGAGTGTTGCTCTGATACTTCATTGCCTAATCTGAAGCCACTTAAGTTTTATGGTAATATTTCATCAGCCACACTGGACTTTAGATCTTGCTCATCATACTTGGATACAAAGTACCAAATATCCTGAAACACCTTGAAAAATAAGGTAAAACTGATGTCTGAAATAGAAATTCAACATGACAAATGACAGCTGAAGGGGCTGACTGGAGAGCCTTCTGTTTTCTCATCATCTTGATTGCTGTATTAAAGCTGCAGCTTGCACAAAGGCATTAAGCTCTAGGTTCTCCTCTGCTTTAGGGACCTGATGAGGATTCCTCGAGGAGCACACATGAGTTAGGAGTCCTGGGTGTGTTTCTGGTTACAGGAGAGGTGCCTGTCAGAGCCCAGCTCTTTCCCCTTGGCCACAAGACTGAGTAAAACAACAGTAACCCAGCAGTGCAGTGTATGCTGCAGTGGGCTGGGACCTGAAGCTGTGGATGTGTGTGCAGTACCTATGATTTAATGTCTTTTTTTCCCCCTTACTTTACAGTTGCAACAAATATGCCTACTCAGCAGGCCAGGCAGCTCACCAGCCACGTGCCTACCCCAAAAACACCGAGACAGTCATCAGCAACAAGGAGTATGTCTAAACTGTTCAGCTTGCTTGTAACGTTAGTGGGTTATGAAGGCAAATAAAGACGTGAGCTGCTCCCAGGGCTCTGGTCCCACCTTGCACTCTCTCACCCCATTTGGAGTGGTACAAGCAGGAGGTATGGCTCTTCTGGGCAAATAGCAATGGCTTGCTGGGATGGTCCTCAGCAGGGTCCTACAGGTAATGCTGTGCTGTGAAGGTCTTCTGCATTTAACCAGGGAGCGTGGTGGGTCCTGGCAATCCCAGCCACTGCTTCCCCTTCAGCTGAGTCAGAGCTGCAGGACGGGCAGGCTGCAGCTGCCTGCCAGTGACCACGCCTCACAGTTAGCAGTGTAGTGTGTTTTCAGTAGTGTTCAGCTTCCTACTTCTGTTCAGCAGCTTTAGCTTTCGACAGGAAATAAAGTTTATTCCACAGTCTGACTTGAAGCAGATTTTTTGATGAGTGGTATCCTGGCCTTTGATAAGGGTATGGTGCATGTACTGCGGGCTTGAAGTCGCACGTCACACTGATACCCATATTATGTATGATAGTCAAGATTCATAAAAGCTACAGAAAGTTCCCTCACAGCCACGCCCCTCCAGATCTGCAGATGTGCAACAAACTTCTTGTTGGCTGTAGTGCAGATCCCAGAGATAAATGAAACAGAACAAAGCAAACACAGCTGGGAGCAGAGAAGGCATCTGGTGTGACAGTGCCTTGGGAGAATGAAGATGATAAACCCAATTTGTATTTCTTAGTTTTCAGCTTCTAAAATAATGCTGTTCTAACTGTGAGTAATCTTTAACTTTGGAAACTTCTCCTACATCTGAATTGTCTAATTAATGTAATCCCCCTGTGGCTTTACTCTCCATCATTGTTCCTTCACTAGAATTTGTGCCCTACACTCCTGCATGGCTGGGAGCACATTTTTGCCTCGTGTAAGCACTTACCCAGACGCCAACGAGCTAACTGTACTTTGTACTGATGCTTTGAGCAACGGGGAGTGGAATCCCATGCTGCAGAGTCACAGGTTTCATAACCTGCCCCTTTTAAATTACAAATTTATTCATGCAGCTCAACAGAATACCTTGGTGTTTCTCTCTACTTCTAATGTCTTGTGATAAACAGACCACTAAACTGTAGTCTGATTTAGAAGTTTCATCCAGCTTCCTTGATGTCCCAATTGATAATTTCACAGGGCAACCTGCAAGCAGGCTTCTTGGTAGGAATGATTTAGCTGTGTTGCTTGCATACAGGTAGAGCAGATTTGTTGGCTGACACGTGGAGGCATCACTTGGGCACTGAGAGATCTTGTTAGGTCTAGTAAGTGAAGCTAAAAGGAGTCAGGATTACTGTTAGATTGCCAGTGTCATCTTCCCTCCACTGTCAACTATGGATTTAAAGACTGTTCCTTTGCTGTTTTGGAGACTAACTCTAAAAGCTGAAAAGGCACTCAACGTGCACGGTGGGGGCTGAGCTCCTCACCATCACTGTCTGTTCTCCAGGCTCCTCACCATCACTGTCTGTTCTCCAGGCTCCTCACCATCACTGTTCTCCAGGCTCCTCACCATCACTGTCTGTTCTCCAGGCTCCTCACCATCACTGTTCTCCAGGCACTCTTGTGGTGGGTTTTGTTCTAGTCGCACGCAAGGAAGACGCTGAACTCGGGCAGTTCCTGAGCAGTTCCCGTGTCGGTGTGCCCGCTCAGGAACATGAGTTATGATCCAGGAGGTCAGAGAGAAATCCAGAACTCCCTTCGTCTGGCATCAGGCCTTCTAGTGATGTCACTAGGCAGTTTAATTAAAAACCAGGAGTAAGCTGCTGCTGTAGTAACCCATTCATTCGTTCAGAGCATCGTTATCGCAGTCGGTGCCACGCGGGACGTGCCTGCTGGAGGTGCCAGCCCCTCCTCTGCCTTGTTCACAGCCTCCATCAGCTTCTCTTCCTGCTGTTCCCCCTTGCTTATCTGCCCCTTTCCCACGTGCCTCCAACATGCTCCGAGTGAAAATAACGAACCAGCAGCTCAGTCTGGGGGGAAAGGCCTTTTATGTATAGGTGACATATGATTATTTTTTAAAAGGGATTTGTGTCAGGCCACTTAACGCTCTTTAAAGCACCTTCACACGCTGCTGTCTCTAAGTCCTTTGCTCAGCACACCAGGCTGCTTTGATAGCTGCAAGTCTTCTTCGTATCTCTGCAGCTGAGCCCAAAATCCTGCGTTGGGCTCTGCTACCGGTCTGGCAGTCTTCACAGCCTAGGGAGAAGGAGAGAAGTTATAAGAGCAAGGGCAGGGATCCTGCAAACAGGTTTCTTTTCCCTCTTAGGTTTGCTTTGGGCTTGATTTGGCTACGGAGTAATAAACAAACAGCTATTTTGGTGAGCTGACCTCACTCTGTGCATGCTAAGACCTCCTGGCATGTGGCCCCTGTTACAGAATGGATTCATGGGCAAGACCTGAAAAGCAGCTGTTGAGTGTGCTGGAACTGTGCGTGCCTCTCCCAAAGTGTGGAGGCATCACCCATGTTCAAGCTAGTGTGAAACTTGGCCACGTGTCTGCACACCTCTGTCTGGCACTGAGCAAAAGGATGAGCTACATCACAGACTTTAGTGATACACCTGAGCTGCCACATAGGTGAAGATGGCAAACCCTGCAAAGCAACCTCTGCAGGCACTTGTACCCCTTTCACTCCTTTCTTTCTTTATGTCTCTGTCTAACTTCTCATGAAAACGACAGGGAAAACGTTCACAACACAGCCAGCTTTGCATAGCTCCTATCAGTGCCTGAAGCCCGTTTGCATTCGTAACTGTCTGTCCCGGCAGCTCTGGGCGGCAGCTGGTTTGGCCAGGCTGGGGGTGAGTAGCTTACAGGGGAAGTTTTTACACGAGTGCTGCCCATGTAACTGCTCATCAGTGGCTGAGAGCCCGAACTCCTCTGTCAGAGACGCCGAACTCACGCGGTGAGAGCCCCTCGCCAGCTGTAACAAGCCCGGCGCTCCTCGCCCGCAGGATGCGCACGGTGCCCGGGCGCC